TAAATGTAATAAATAATTTGATTGATGGCAACAGAGAGCAGACCTACTGCCCTAGTCTTTTTGAATGTGAATTACTATGAAAGCCCATTTTACTAGATTTAATTAAGATGTTATCATGATTATACTTGTTTCTGTCTGTTAGACACGCATACTAGCGGTGAAGAACTAGACAATAGGAAAAAATGTTCTGAAAGGTTTCCGGTTTAGACATACAATGGAAAATCTTTTTTTTCCCAGAAGTTAAGAGTGTCTACTTATATGCTGCTTGATTAAATGTCAGCTAATTATTTGTACACAAAAAGGAAACAATTTTGCTGCCTGTAGGTGGAATTCTAGTTCGCCTGCACAAAGTCTGACTATGTTAAGCCTCTGTGCATGGCGAAGAAGAAATCACTGTCCCCAGAGGCCGGAGCACAATCCGTATGAACAGTATGCTTATATATGGTAGTTAGCATGCCTTCTCTCCAGCCAAACTGGTCTGAATGCTGGTAAACAGTACATTTGGCAGTGACCACTATAATTTCTCTATTTTTACTATGCCTATCACCATAATCTCTAGACACCAATGCACTAAGTCCCTAAACGCACTAAATGTTCCCTATACCATGTTCTCCGTGCTTTCCCCTCTGTCTTCCAGACTGAATGCTATAAGTGCTTTTTTTCATGTCATCTATCTATGGGGTGCATACTCTAAACACCCTCTCCAGGAATACACACTATATAAGGTTGCAAACCAGATCCCATTCCTAACATTTGAAACATCTGCTTGCTAGGCTGAAATATTCCATGTTGGGTTTCTAAAGCTGGAAGTTATGGAAAGTTTGAACAAAGCCTCCCAGCCACTTATGAGTTATGGGTAAGTGGGGAAAAAAGGCAACGCAAACAAATTCTGGTTTTGTTGTAATCCGTAAGCATCTGCGAAGAGTCTGCAGGCTTTAACTGTGCTGTAGTAGCACTTATTAGTGAGCACTACCATTCATGAGGAAGGGTTATGGGGACTCCAGCCCCAACGTAGTGTAAGCCTAATGAAAGATGCTTTTTAGGACATCCTATATCGATCAGGAGGGTTACACGGCCTGTTCTAACAGGCCTAGCACAATGGTTCTTAATCTTGTTAGACTTGAGCCATCCCGGAGAGACTTGAGCATAAACTCGAGTCACTCCTTGAAAAATGCCAGCTCTTCATGTTCACTGTTTCTTTTTCACTACAAAAAAATTAGAGTAGTTTTTCTGTTGCAAAGAACTCAGGAAGACCATCACAATAGATTTTTATTTGAATTGAGAATCGCCGGCCTAGCCTCTGAGTTGCGAGTTGACAAGAGAAAGAGCTCCTGCTCCCACGTGCCACATAGGACTACTTGCATGACGGAGTTTGTTAATGTTTCATTTAAATAAATACAGCAGACTCCTCCCTCAAAAACTCACTAGTTAAATACTTAGTCATGGGAGAGGGATGCATGTGCTGGGAGGAAGAGGAAAGGATTCTGTGTGTTCAAGAGCCTTGCAGTGTTAGCCCCATTTGGTGGAACATGTCTTTTAAATTTAAAAGAAAATAGTGATTGGACTGTGTTGTTAGGTGCTGCCCCCCTAAACAGGAACATCTTCCTTCAAAGCATTCCTACAGAATGGCATCCTCCATCAAACCTAAATATATCCAGTACATCTGGTTTGTGAATAAATCTTTGTAGAGCCCATTCACATTACAGCTATAAGCACCCTTTTGGAACAATGTAGAGGCTCAGTTGGCTTAACAGGCGAGAGGTAACAGGTCAGCAGCTTCCTTGCCATCATGACCATTGTTTGTGTATCTGCACCTCCTACTCTAGTACCCAAGTGTGGTTGTGGAATTATATTCTGAGAAATCTGAGCAGCGATCCTGGCATGTGGAGCAATGCAAAACTACACCCTTTTGAAATTCAAGAGAAAAAATAGCTACTACATTTTTCAGGTCCTTAAAGACTTCTGTGGCTGTCTTTTTTTCTAAACTAAACACATTGAGCAATAAACTTCATCTGATGAACCATAGCTTATCCATAATAAACACGTATAAAATTCCTCATAAAATCAAGGTGTGGTTCTTACCTCGTGAGTTCAGTATATTGGAATTCAGCCAGTGCAGACACAGACAGATGACACAGAGCAGCAATCCCCACCGGTGGAGACATGCTGCCAGCAAGACTGTACAGGTTTCCCTCACCAACTGCTGGAGTGAAGTTCCTGAAAGTTCCCGTGGTTGGCAAAACCGTGGATGGCAAGGCAAAAGGCAGGTGAAGGGGCAAGGCAAAAGGGGTAAATGGCAGGTGGTGGGCTGATGCACAGGCCTGGAAAACTGTGGTTACTCAAAACTGTATACCATGTAGTCAAAATGGTACATAGAATATTAAGCGTGGCTAAAACTGGCTGGCAAACCCATGGTTGGCAAAGGAAACTTGTAGTGTCACTAACAGCCACAAGAAATGTTGCTTTCCACACGTAGGTGGTTCTTCGTGTTAACAGGGAGAGCAAAGTATGCTGTTGCCTACAGCATGTTACTTGCTCAGTGTTGTTCCCCATGGGCCAACAAAAGCTGTAAAAAGAAATGACAGAGCTGCTTTAATCTGTACCCATTTAATGTACTGATTTTGGGGTCTATAGTTCATTTATAGAAGTAAAGCGTTTTTCCTCCTAAACACGAAACAGTGTTATCTGTTTCCCACGGACATCACAGCAAGCACAAAGGCCCAGCAGTCCTAGGCCGGGGAACTCGAGCTTCCCTTCCAGACGACATTCAGCTCCGGCTGGGTTGGACAAGAGGGAACGGCAAGGTGAGGCTGGGACCTTGCCAGGTCAAGCAGCACAGACTCGTGCCACCGGTCTCCACCCTCAACGCTCCGTTTGGGGCGGGACAGAGACTCCGCCAGAGCCAGGCACTGCACCCAGCGTTGGGCGGTGAGCGTCCAGACGTGGCATCAGCTCTGCTCCTTCGAGCAAGCCCCAGATGGCTTTAAAGACACCCGAGAGTAGGTGCAGCCTCAGCCGCGGCCGGGGCCCGTGGCGGGGCTCAGCCTGCACAGACAAGGGAGGCTGCAGCGGGCTGGTTCCTTGCTTGCATTGCAGGGGAGCAGGCGGCCGGGGCCGGCCAGGGGGAGGCCGCGGGCCACGCAGCAGCAGCGCCCCCTGCCGCCCGCCGCAGTCTCCTCGTCCGACCCGGCTGCAGCCACGTGGCAGGGCTCCAGACACCAACCCGTGCCGCTGGGGAGGGGCCTGATACGTTCCTGTTGCGGGCAGCTGCCTTCTGTACCCGCCCGTCATCCCGGAGCAGTGCTGGAGAAAGAAAGAAGGGCATGTGGGGTGGGGGTAGCGCCGAGTGAGTGCTCGGCATCTTTATAGGCGCGTCAAGGTCAGAGTTATACTCAGTGGTAGCGTGGCCGAGTGGTCTAAGGCGCTGGATTTAGGCTCCAGTCATTTCGATGGCGTGGGTTCGAATCCCACCGCTGCCAAAGCACATTTTTCGGCTCGCGGCATCATGCGTTTGCCTGCGACCGGCTGCTGGATCGCGGGTCCCGAAGAAAACAGCGGCGCTTCAATCGTCCCCCCCCATAGTGCACCAAGTGGAGCAATTTTGGTGCGTCTCAGACCCTTTGGGCTAACGTGGCCGCAGCACCAAAGGCGGCTTTCGTTTCGCTCCGTGCTCGTTCATTTTGCGGAGCGGGTGATGCGCTCGTGCAGAGGCATGGAGGCTGCCCCCTTTCGGTGGCTCCTTTATTACAACTCCGGGACCATGCACGGGTTGCTGGCGATGAAAAGAGGGGAAGAAAAGCGCAGCTCTAAGGAAGTAACCCCTCAGTAATTTGGCGAAAAGTAAATTAAAGGGGGTGGGGGGAAACCCTATTTTATTTGATGGCTGAAAGTGGTATCCTGAAACTTGGTGCGTCTACACGAGACACTGCACAGTGGTGTAATAACACTGCGCAGTAGCTGTGCTAAAACTGAGCTAACCTGCCCTACTGCACAGTAATAGTAGGCTCCTGCGCGGTGTCACGAAAAACCCAAGTGCTGGCACTACTGCGAGTTACTGCGCATTGATTGTGGTATATCAGTTGCTGATGAGCCGAGAACTAAACTTAATGTGCAGCCGCTGGCCCATTTATGAACTGGTAAACATGCCCAGAGGGAACCAGGAAAGGATCTTTCAAGACAATTTTTTCAAGAAATAAGGAACCCATAGAGGCAGAAAATTACATTTCAGGTTTTCAAATCTAGAGCAGAAATGGGGGAAGAAGTTTTCCTACTTGTTGGCAATGTTATTTTAGTAGCAATAAGCTAACACACGTTTCTGCCAACTCTCTGTTGGCTGATGAAATACCTGAGGGAAAATGCAAGGTAACTTACCCCTTTCATCCATGGGGCAAGTGACCTCAACCAACAAGGCAAAAGTAGGCACAGGGGCAGTTACCATAGGAAGGCTGAGACACTGGAAATTCACACCGTTGCTCATAACTTGTTTGTGTAGCCGTATTTTCAGATACTTGACTTTTGCTATGTATAATCCCTAATCAATGAACATTTTGGGCACCGGCTTTGGAAGTCCTCCCAATTCTGATATAAGCCCGTGGAGAGGAAGCACCTTGGGGGAGGAGGGGAAATGGAGGGGGTTGTGAATGAGTGCTAATTAAGGTCATAACAGGTAAGAGATTTAAGACATGCACAATTTTAAGCACACTTTTATTTCCCCTCTTATGCAATGTCACAACTAATTCACAAAAAAACCCCAAACCCCCAAAATTACATTGTGCATCTTTTCTGTACAGCCAGTGTGCATTATTTACATAAATCTATTTTCCACCTTTGATCTGTTTCCCAGCTCCTCACAGTAAAATGCAGTGGCAGCAGATCTGGTCAATCTTTCACTTTATTCAAGTCTTTCTCTTTATGGTTACAGTGTTACAGGTTTACTGTGGCAGCTCTTCCTCCAGTTTCTCATTCACTTGAGCAGCCAGTTTGGGAGAGAGCTTCGCTCTAATTCCTGCATTTTTTCAGTGGTGATCTCCTTTGTGTTTGGGATCGTACAGTCCTTTAACTTTCTAAGAGCAGCTACTGATATACCACATTTTTGGTTTAAGTCTAAAATTAGCTGCCAGTCTGCTATGTCAAAGCCAATAACTACTACAAAGCCTAATGCAGCCCATGTGGGCACAGAACTGTAGTGTGACTTAGTACAAACCAAGTTACATATCTTAATGTTGGTTTTCTTTGAAGAACTGCATAACTGAAAGGCTTTCAAATTTAAAAGAAAGCAAAATTAAACTTAAGAGGCTGGCAATGAAAGAAAGCAAGATTTTCAGGAAGAAGTGATGATTCTGGGATTTTGGTCTTGTTTTAATAAAATGGTCCACAGAATCAGCAAATGCAAACTTCTTTGGGCAGTACCCTAGCTGATTACGTGCCTTGTCTATTCGGAAAGTGTGAGTTACAGCGACGTTCCACACCTATAATGCAAAAAGAAACCCACCAGACAGAGAGATGAATGCATTAGAAACCTTGAACAAACATCTCTGATGTGGAAGTAACAGGTTAGAATTTACAAGAAATAAACTCTCAAATTAAAATAACATTGGATCAAATTGTACAAGTTGGTCTTACAGGTGGAAGATCTTATCAACCCACAGCTTAAACAGGGACAGCAGGTTTTTTTTGCTTGTGGACATCAAGAGCGAGAGGTCAGACATATCCTATCAGCATCACTTGCTGGCGCTGAACTGCCATTAGCCGGTCACCCTATATCTATGTATCTAAGGTACTTTTACGGCTGCACAATACTACCAAATCTGATGGCCTCACCTTCTTTAAAGTACTATTATCACGTCTGTTTTATAGATGGGGAATTGAACTCATATTTTCAGAGGTATTTAAGCACAAACACATGAAGAAAGATATTGAGGGGGATTTTCAAATCTAAAGCATCTTGAGTTTGAAAATCCTACCAGGTGCCTAAATACTTTTAAAATCTGGCCCTGCCTGACACACCCAAGGTCACACGAGATGTGTAACACAGTGTGGGATTAAATCCTTCTCTCCCATAGCCTAAATAAGTACTCTAACCATAAAGCTATAATTCCTTGAAACATTGCTATTCCCATCTTCTGATGAGGTGTACAGTTAGGCACTCCAGTACTGAAAATGTTATCAATGCTATTTAGGCTCTAGCACAGGGGTGGGCAATCATTTTGGCTGGAGGGCCACTTAATGAGTTTTGGTGAACTGTTGAGGGCCACAAGGGTAGCCCTGTTCCTTGACAGGTGCCCCAGCCCCTGGTTGCCATCATGGGATGGAAAGTTCTGCCCCTAACCCCTGACCTTTACTACCAGAAGTCCCTTCCCTTGCCAGGGCCAGGGCTTTCCCCCACATGAAGGCTGGAGTGAAGCACACTGCCCTGGAGGGACAGGGCAGGGCTTAGGCCCCATGACAGCGCATCACAGGTAGTCACAGGCCAGGTGGTTACAATTAATTGATGGGCACCTGTCCATGGGCAAGATGAAATCACCTGGTGGGCTGAATCCAGCCCACAGGCCATATTTTGCCCACCACTGCCCTAGCAGATATTGGTTGCCTTTAATGGGAGGAATGACATGGTAAGTAGCTCCTCCTAATACTAGCTCTTCAGCCAAATCCTGCAATTTTAACCCCATAGTTAATATTTGGAGACTGGTTCAAAAGGTAAAGGTAGTATAGCCTAAGTCCTCAATTCGGCTGTATCAGATCAGATTTTCCTCTTGCAGCAACAAAGAGAATGATCTGTCTCAGAATTTTTTAACACCTAGTAAAAAATTCATTTAGCCATAGATTATTTCAATTTTTCAATTGTTGCAAATTATTTTGAATATTCACTTACCACAACAGGCAAAAATACTTACTAATTTGTGTTTTGTAAGAATAACTTAAAATCACTTGTTTTGGAATGTGTTAATCAACCTAAAACCATATTTTCTTTCATATAACACACCTCCCTTACAAAAGCTGCACCATGTTTCTGAAAGGCCGAATGAAGAAAAATGATCTTTCCTTGAGACCCTCTGCCAGAGAGGAAGCAAAGTGTCCACAGCCAGCAGCTAGATACTAGCTTTACCTTAACTTTCCCCTGGCAGAGGCTTAAGCAGCAGAAACTACTGTTACTGTATTCCTCAATATAATGCGCACCCTAATTTCCAGCAACTGAATTTTTGGGGAAAAGATGTGGGTGCATATGAGAAAATATGGTAATACAAATGTGCATAATTAGGAATAAATTAATCATCTACATTTGATTTTTGTTTAGCTTCAGTCTTTTCTAATCTCAGAACATATGAGCCAAATTATATGAAGTACTGACTGGGAATTTTATTTTTTGACTTTCATATATTAATTGTGCAGACTCACCAAAAATTGTGCCCAATATACAATGATACACTTCCTGTGACTTCTAACTGGTTGTTTTATGAAAATATATTTTACCTCATTTCTGGTCAGCAAAGGTGACACTTCAAGAAGTGGTCTCAATGTGAAATGCAGATATTCAATTGTTGTGGCTGTGCAACAGAAAGTTACTATTTGAGATAACAATAGTAAATGACTAAATACTGTAATTTTAGGGTAACAGTCATATAGTTAGTGCTGAAGAATACTTAGATTCTGAAGAACTGAGCAAAATCACTGAAGTTAGTTGGTCTGTTTAGTTAAGTAAGATAAAATAGGTTGGTTTTGGTCCTTTTTTGCTGCATAAGGTAAAGGCTTAATTGAAAACGTGTGTATGAAAAGTGTTTGCAGGCTTAATTAATTAATTTAATTAAGACTCAAGGACTTTAAAAAAACATAGTGATACTAAACCAATGTAGATGGGATTCTACCTTTCTTACCTATCCAAGACTCCTTAAATTTAGAGGGAACTTGGGTTACATAAGAATGCAGAATTCAGCATTAAAAAAAACAAAAACATAATTTTTAGAGTAGGTAATAAAGAAGGAGTTTTTACCTGTAGTCTTTTTAAGTTCATAGTGTGAATGAGAGCTTGAATAAGGGTTATATATCATTTTTGTCACACTGGGTGAGTCTACACATGCAATTAATGTGAAGCAATAAACTCTGGAGCAATAAACTCCTGGGTGCAGTGTCTATACATGTACCTGGAGCATCAGCAATTTGAGCTGGGGTACAGCAGGACTGGTAAGAGGCATGGGAACTGCATAAAATAAAACTGTATAGTCTTGCATTTCACAAAGGTGTTACATAGATTAATTCAGAAAAACTCAAAAGTACAGCTAAATAAAGCATAATATATGGTATTCAGAGCCTACAGTGATGGAGATATAGTAGACAGAAAGTTATATAAAATATATTACCTGCTGCATAAACTAAGGAAGTAGGAATACGTATCCATGGTTGACTGTAGCCTAATTTTTCAAACTGAAAAGGATTTAAAAAATAGTGAGCAAATCACTTAACTTCTGATATTATTTATAATAATAATTTTTTTCTTTAAAAGATTCCAAAGACAAGTGGCACATATACAATATTATATTATTTTGAAATAACAGTGGGCACGTCTACACATTTCCCTACAGCGCCTTTGTTACTGTGCCATCATTTAGTACTTCCTTTTGGAACTTTAGTACTAAATGATGGTGCAGTAAGAGCCCATACTGCTCTGTGTATGCAGTTACTTTTAGCTGCTACATCACTGTAGCACCACACTATAATGAGGGAGCATGTTCCTATGGCGATTTAACTGTGGCATCACGATTCTTGCCCGCAGACTCTACATTGGCATAGTACATTGCTGCAGCAACACAGGGTCACATGTAGATGAGCTCACTATGAATAGAAAAGAAGTCTTAATATTTGGGACTTAATCCCACAATCCTAGTGCACTGATATCCCATTTTATAGTGCTCTAGTTCTATGTTTTGGACCGAATCATTAAAAGTGAGATGTTTAATTGAAAAATTATTGATATTGCATAATGACAGGCTGAACCTATGTTCTTTATACATCCAAAATTTCTACTGGTATCAGTAGTCCGCCTAAGAACGTAGGGTCGATTACTAATTAGATAAGTATAACATGGTAGTTTGTACTTATTGTATTAATTCCATTGTCCTGGCTTCAATGAGTTATTAAGTCCCAAATTTGGAAAGGGTCTCCTACTCCCAAAAATCAGCATGTAAAAATTTCAATATGTACACCAAGGTTGGAGTTGTATATATGCAAATAAATATACAGATAAAATTTTCTGGTTTGTGCATATATAATTGAATTCATAATTTTCAAAATGTGAGCATACAGTTTTTTCTAGATAAGTTGCATTTGAGATAAATATATGTATTTTACATACTAGTGGAGTTATCCATTCAAAAAGGTTGACATTCTCGCCATCGTTTATGTAATATGCCTGACCACTCTGTTAAAGAGGAAGAGAAAAGACATCTTAGTAACATGATAGCATGGACTGACTTTTATATGCTCATTCCCTTTTTAAAAAATCTTTAATGACTGTGAAAATAATATAGTAACATCAAAAACAAGTACATGTAAGAATATAGACATTAATGTTAACTACATTTATGTTTCAATCAACTACTATGTTGTATGTAATTAAAGTGACTGACTTAATATTGCTTGTCTGATGTGGCTAACATTCTTCCCTTAAAACTTGCTTATATAAATTTACCTCTGATAAAAATTACACAACAAATAGCATAGTGTATTCTGCTCTTCTTTACACTAATTAAACCCCAGTGAAGTCTGTGTGGCTGTGGACAGATTTTGGCAAACTGTGTATTTCCTCTTGGCAGCTTTTGGAAAAAACTCCCACTAATGTTCTTTGGTAATCTTTCCAATGTACTTTTCTTAGTTTAAATTTTTAGGTTATGAAAACAATTATTTACAAATAGGAAAAGATCTACAGGAACATTTTAAATAGATGCACCTGTAATGAATGTGCTGAGCTGGTAGTTTGCATGTACAAACACTGTACAGGAAACAGGCAGTACACCTACAGCTAAAGTTGTCTAACAATTTTCTGTATTAAATACATAGGCCCTGACTCTCAAGTTGATATGTACAGATAGCAACACTAATATCACAGCTGTTATTGCCAGTGGACTAAAGACTTGATATGTACTTTTCCCGCCCTCAGTCCTAAATCTGGCTTTGTTTATAGAAGCAATGAGAAATGTATATATCTGCCTGTGACAGGAGTATCTCCGCTGGAGCCTTTCTGTTGGTGGCTCCGCCTTCCTGTCTTGGGCTAACTGTCTGCTTACTCGCCTGCCATGCCTTGATCTTAATTGATTGAGTGATGTAATTAGTGGGAGGCTGCCCACTTTATATGCCCGGTGTCAGGGGGCGCTATCTGCAGCTCCTTTTCCTCCCCTACACCGCAGCCTAAGCCTCGCAGATGGT